GACCCCTTGGGGATGCAAAGGAACATGGAGACCTTCATGGAGTCGTGCAGCAGTGACAAAATTAGCTGCTCTGCTGTGCCCACTGCTTTGGAAGGTAAGTGAGCTCATTAGGAAGGTTGACTCTGTTAGTGGCAGAGTAGCTTGGCTGCCTGGTTTGTCAGCGAGCTCAGAAAAACCCTAGCTTTTTCGAAGCTGGAAGCAAGCAACCCACTTTCTGGCACATATGAGGCAAGAGGGCTGCAAATTTTGCACTGACCGTGGCATAAAAAATGTTGAAGTAGATTCGGTTTAGTCATAAAGAAAGTGGGAGCGCCGGGAGCGCTCAGCCAAACACCTCCGCAGCGAGAAGCATGCTGGAGGAGCTGCTGGGAAGGTGCTGCTTGGGAGATCCGCATCTGCTCCCAGGAGATTTGGCACCGCAGCAGGAGCCATCCCCGCAGCTCTGCATTCTTTGTAACGGTCTGGTGCTTCTGCCCTGTCTATGCTCTGGGTTTTTGCTTTTATTCCCCCCCCCGGTACCCTAGAAACAGAGGCTGACCAGTGGGAACGCGCCTGCGACACGCTGCTCATGTGCATCGTCACTGTCCTGAACCACGGCCTGAGGAACGGAGGGGGCGTGGGTGACATTCTGCGGAAGCCATCGAAGGACGTGAGTTTGGGCAGCACGTGGGACCCCTTCCTTCTGCCAAGTCCTGCCACATTTACCGCTGCGCAGCTGCCGTCGCTCCCTGGAAACTGTGACACTTCCAGCTGCGTCCCCCGCACTGTCCCCCACTGCTTTTCCCCTCTCTTCCCCATCACAGCCTTTACTCTTCCTCACCTGGTACCCTCACCCAACCCTCACCAACGCCCCAACGGGGCGGCACGGTTAGCGTGGCTGGAGGAGAGGTGTGCGAGAGACACACATTTATCCCTTCCATCCGTTACAGGAATCCTTGTTTCCTGCTCGGGTTGTCTACGACCTCCTCTTCTTCTTTATTGTCATTATCATCGTCCTTAACCTCATCTTTGGGGTCATTATTGACACCTTTGCTGACCTGAGGAGCGAGAAGCAAAAGAAGGAAGAGATACTGAAGACCACCTGTTTCATCTGTGGTGAGCGCTGGGACCTACAGAGGAATTGCCCCAAAGCTCTTCCTCTCTTCTCAGGCTGAGGGGAGGAAAGGAGTCTCAGTTGGTTTCTGGGTTTCAAAACTCAAATCTGTTCACGGATGGGTCACTGCGGGGCGAGAAGGCTTAATCAAGGACACAAACTGAGCGGGGAAATTATCTGTGGTGTTCCTCACCTTCTGTTAATGAGGTGTTAAACTAAGCACCACATTGTGGAGTTCTTGTCGCTGTGCATCTATCACTCCTGAGACCATCGCTTAGCCAGTGGAAAAAAAGCACCGTATCACTAAGGAAATAAAATACAGAAAATGTTCTGGAGTCATTGTAAGGCATCCAAAAAGGAAAAAAAAAAAATCCAATCAACCTAGCTGCTTTTTTTCTTAAAAGATGCACTGGGTGGATTTTGTGCTTTTAGATACATAGGCAGGAAGCACAGCTAGTAGTACTTTAAATAGATGCCTCCTGAATACACAACTGGTTTGTTTTCCCCCTGGTTTGCATGCTTGTTGTATGCTAAATGCCAACTAATTATTAAAAGCGCTTCTGGAAAGGCACACCTGGGAGAGGACGCAATTATCTCTATTTCCTTTCGCATTTGTTTGCTTGCTCACTTCTTCCCTTCTCCTCCCCTCCCCGTCTCCCCCCTCCGCCATCTCCGCTCTTGCCTGCCTTTCCCAGGACTCGAAAGGGACAAGTTCGACAACAAGACAGTGTCCTTTGAGGAGCATATTAAATATGAGCACAACATGTGGAACTACTTGTACTTCATCGTGCTGGTGCGAGTGAAGAACAAGACCGACTACACAGGGCCGGAGAGTTACGTGGCGCAGATGATAAAGGTACGTGTCCTCTCGGGGAAGATCTTTCACTATCGCAACCTGCCTACCCCAGGGAGATACTTGAGAACAAGGGGCTTGCCAAAGAAAAAAGGGTTCTGAGAAGGAGCTTTTGGAAAATATTTAGTAACATGGTCGTGCCTTAGTTCTTTCCTAACTGGTTGTTTCCACTTCGCAGTCTCAGCCAACACCACATTGTCTGTTTGATGTTTTGTACTGTGTATTTAAGGATTGAACCAAGAGCAGAGAGCGTGACTTCAAGGTGATTTCAAGGCAAGGAGGGGAGGGAAAGGAAATTTAGAAAAGAAAAACTTCTGAACTTGAGCCCAGAAGGCTGTAAGGAAAAAAGCTGGAAATGGACTATTTGTGGAAAAATTTGCAAAGATACAGACAAGATGAGCCTTTGGGAATTTCATTAATCCCTAAGCATAGGCAGGCTTCCTGTTAAATCCTACCAGCTCTCTTCCCTCCTCCTCACCCCCTCTCCAACTCCCATTTTCCACGGTCGCCTTTCCAGAACAAGAACCTCGACTGGTTCCCCCGGATGCGAGCCATGTCGCTGGTCAGCAATGAAGGGGAAGGGGAACAGAATGAGATCCGTAATCTTCAAGACAAACTCAACACCACGATGAAGCTGGTGTCCCATCTCACCTCCCAGCTGAATGAGCTGAAGGAACAGGTACTTAACAGTTTTAAGAATCGGAACACTTGAGGAACACCTGACTGTAGCAACCCGCTGTCCTTACCAAAATAGACACCAATTCCAAGGAAGAGGTGGCAGAACCAGCCCAAGGCAGTACAACTTCAGACACAAAGCAAAGGGCTCCTGCAGCTCTTTTCGGGGGGGTCAGGGTACATTTGGGACAAGTGCTTTTTGATACTTTACCTCCTCATCAGCTCGAGTCCAACTCACAGGGTTTTCTGGCAGATGCTTAAAGCAGCCCGCTCAGTCACGCACTGGAGGAGCACGTTAGCGAATGTAAAGGCAGCTCGGTTTCCTCCCTCACTCGTGTCCTTGTTTGCACTCTAGATGACAGAGCAACGGAAGCGCAGACAAAGGATGGGGTTTGTGGATGTCCAGAATACCATGAACCACTAAGACGGAGAAGAAGCATCAGCTTCACCCACTGGGGGACTACACGTATACATGTCAGCTAACGAGGCTGCTTATTCCTGGGTTCCATGCCTGGACGTCGCTGTCAGAGAAAGACAGACCATGTGGAAGAGCTTCACGGTCAACATTTTCCCTAGAGCGCTTGTAAGCAATTCAGGAGCCAGGGACCGGCCAGGATTCCTCACAATACCTGGACCCACACGTTACTCTAATGCCCTTGTAGGAAGATAAATTATACAGGACTTTCATTCCTCATTGCAATAACTCTTTATTTTGCAAATGTGGAGGGTTGTATCTTTATCTCCATGCACTACATTCTGATGGCCTCAGGTGTAGTGTAACTAGCTGTAGGGCTGCAGTATTTAACTTATTCCAAAAGTGTCACTAGTACATGTGGATCTTTGCAAACCAGCCATCGTATTTGCTGTAACTGCTCCGTGCTGATCCCTCTCCATTTAAAGAATTCTGTTCATCACTGTGGTGCAGTAAAGAGGAGCTAAACTCAAGGAGGTGGATTTGTTTAATTTAACTCACCAGATGAGGATGAGTATCCAAGCTTGTACTAGTGTGAACTAGTCTTTTGCCTTCTGTGGACCAAGGATATCTGGGCAGTAGTAGTAGGAGACTGCAGGTTTACAGGAGTTCACTGTGAAGGGGTGTCCTGTGTTTTAGTTTCATCTCTGGTGTAATGTTTTACCTTTTTTTTTTTTTTGGTTATTGTTGTTAGTTAAGAACTAAAATGTAAATTGCCTTAACTAAATTAAATACAAAATCATGTTATAATAAAAACTGAAACATGGTAAAGAAAGAGCCCTTCCTGTGCCCTCTGGTATGTAACGGGGTTGTTACAGATAGAAATACGGAACAATCCGAAGACCCAAGGTGCTCCACAACCCCATGCTCGCAGCTCCAGCTGTTAAACATTAAAATATAGTGTAATGCTCCAGTCAGAAGTTGAAGAAGAATGCTGCCATGAAGAACTACCTTGAGCACCAGCCTTGTTTTCTGAAGCTTCGGATTAGAGCCTGCTGCAAAGTTTCAAATTCTTTCACTACTTGCCAGGAAAACACTGTTCAAATACATAAAAAGGAGCAGCTGTTGGTGCTGCCTGGAGCCAAGCAGCGTCCTGGCATAGCTGTGTTCTAGACACTCATCCTTCCCCAGCCAACTACAGTCCTGTGCCTCTGCCTCCCAAGAATAGACACTGATGCAAGCATTAAAGCTTTAAAAATGAATAAAAATAGGCCACAGCAATGGACTAATCACACTTAAGATTTGTTTATGGCCCTATATACCAACATGTCATTAAAACCTATCTTTATCCCTCAGATATGCAGCAACCCTTAGAGAACCATCTCTTCCTGCGGAGGGAAACCGGCATATAGCTATGTCAACCAGCAACGCACCGCTGCAGCACTGGATTGAAATCTCAATTAAATCCTTCCACTGTTCCACTGTCCCCATGGTAAACAGTCACCCTCAGTCCCCTCCTGTGTCTTAAAGAAAAATAAATGTGGTGCTTAAAGTTATCCCTCCCTCAATTTCACCGTTACCAGTGCTAACAGACAGAAACACAAGCACAGCTACATTGTCACACCATCACTATTGTTATATTCACAAGCAAATTTAAAGCTAACATGGTTGCACCTACTTGCTCTGTGCATCTCCTGGTTGTTCCGTTTTTTGTAACACAAAGGATCTGGTCTAACACCACAAAGTTCTTTCCTCTACGCTACACTGCTCCAATACGGTTTCAGCACAGATGTGTTAAGTTATGTCCTAGATTTCCAGGGAAAAAAGAGGAGGCACTAAAAATGAAGGGTGTAAGGTGTAAGTCTGAACAAAAATGCTGTTGCTAAGAGGAATAAATGGTTTTATTCATCATGGCAACATACAGTGCTTTAGGAATATATACAGTGGAGAATCTGGGAGTTAGCCTGTCACTTTGAGTCCTCTTCGGGTTTCTTGGCATAAAACTTTTCTCGCAGTTTTTTCCATGTCCCTTTTTTCATGTCTTCCATCTGTTTCAGAATGTCTGCAAAAGGGGAAGAGAGAGCAAGATGGGGAAAGAGGAAGAAAAGCAGAAAAGCAAAGGAATGAAAGCCCTCTTATAAAAGCTTTGCCTTATATATATATTTCTTTTTTGACTTTTCATCTTGATGAATTTCTATTTCAGGGCCTGAGGGAAGTTTGTTTCCCTTTCCAATCAACTGTGCGGGGAGTCCCTTATCACTAACAACTAATATTCAGTTTCCACACGCTGCAATGAAAGTTAGGAACTGGAGCAGAACAAAACTGCACTGCCTTCCTACATTGCACTTCATAAATGATCTGGCTGAGAGTATTTCTGCATCATGGTACCCTGTCTAATACAAAAGGAGAAATACTGAAGGGAATTTGACCATGGTGAAACAGAAGCTGAGAATTTTTTGAATGACGTAGTAAACGTGCATTTCTTTCACATAGCTCCTACTATCTGATCTCAAAGAGCCCTTGCAAACCCTTTGCTGTTACTGCCCAGTGTAAAATGCAATTTATTTTTCACCCTGATAGATTACTGATGATCTCCTCAATTATTCCTGAACTTACTCCTCATTAAACATCCTAATATACTTGCACGGCAGTCCCATTCTGTCTTTTAATCACAGGTGTTTAGTAGAAATGTTGCGGTAAACACCACAAAGACTAGAATGTACTTTATCTCCTGCACTGACTTATTCTCAAATCAAGCACAGTATTAGTACCTGTTGCTAATATCATCTTGCAATCTTCTACTGTCACTCCAGTGAAGCTTGTGTCTTTCAGGCGCGGATACTTCATAAACAAGCAAGTAGGTGAGGGAAGGAGAGAGAGAAAAAAAAATGTTACTTGCAGTGCATTAACAAAAGTAAAAATGTCACCATACGGTAAAGTCTGAGCTCATTTTCAGTCAAGCTCTAAGAATTCTGTTCATCCATACCAAGAACTACCATCTGCATTGTTCATACATGTCACAGAGGCCAAGATGTGACCAAAGGCACCAGGTAGAGCTGCAGAGCGCTCATTTGTCTGTTAGACATTCCCAGAAACCCTGCTGGGACAAGGCAGCCAACTGCGGTAGGTTGTGACTCACCCCCTAAAAGAGGGATGATGGCTAATGCCAAAGCTCACCTTGTTTTTGTAGTAGTTGGTGTGGATTCTGACTAAGCTCTCGTACATTCGGTCACAGGTCTCAGGGTCAGCGATCTGGAAAGGGATAAATGTATCACACAAGTCTTAATTTAAACCTCCATAGCAAAAACCACCTCATTTCAAAGCTTGTGAGAAGGACAGTCAAGGAGCAGCTCAGGTGACTTCTCAGTGCAATGTAGGATACTGGTGACCCCTAATACGCTGCTCCAGAATGCAGATCATTTTCTTTCCCCTCCGCTTCTCACCAGCTTGGCCTACAAGAATAATGAGGCATGTGATTTCCAGAACAGACCTTAAAAACTGCTCAAAAAGATTTGACAGATCAGCTGTGAATACATAGTTAATGAGATCATTGCTGGACAGTTTTCTTCTCACGTTTATTTGCCACTGCTGCAAAATCTGTGAGACTTCTTGCTCAGAGGCCAGCTTTGCCGCCTGTTTTATTCTAAAGTATCAAATGGGATCATGTACTAGGGTGGAATTTAGAAAATCCCGGTGCAGGCTAAAAGCAGTTTATAATTGGTTAGGGAAAAGCAGCACGAGACACTGAACAGCTTGTGAAGGGTAAATGGGTTTCTATTTTGGTCGAGTAAGTTGGAAAGATTTTGCTAATACCTAAACCTCTGCTAGGTGCCTCGGACAGGTGCATCTGCCTTGCAGAGGCATCGATTTAGCAGTGTGGATGCCATGTCATCTTGTTTTTCTGTTTTACAATGGGGGCCAACTTGACCAGAACTCTGCATTGCTGCTCGATGACATCAAACATAAATGATTAAAACAGATACACAAATAAGAATAGTATCAACAGAAACATGGCAGGATAAAATGACACGGCTCATGTGTCCTTGGGACATTGGCACAGGTTCAGCACAAGGCCGGTAATGCCTCCTCTGTGCAAACGAGGAAGACGAAGGAAAAGAGCTCCTTATTCAGTAGGTAATGGCTGCTGCAGGAGAGAAGATGTAGGGACAGACAGTCAAGAGTAAGCACCATCACGCTGCAGGCGATCGACTGCTTAACGTATCCTGCAGTCACATTTCAAATGACCCTGCTAATGTTTTAGTAACAACAGCAGAAATAGCTATTAAATGGGTAGCAGAAACAGTGTCCCTCCCTCCCGTAAAATCAGTGAATCTTATTCTACGTGAATAAAACAGACATTAGACTGATAAAGCATCCTTTACGGTGCTAGTTCTTTTCTCAGACATTCCTCCTGCTGTCTGCCAGTACATTTCCCTTTGCTGTATTAAACCTTTACACATACAAATTGACATCAGTGCTGCAGGCATCAATTTAGGTTCTCAAGACAAGTGGCAGCGTTGGGATCTTGTAGCCAATTGGTGCAGCAAATTCAGCTACCCTGAGCGTATGAAAAAGCAATAAGCACTTTCCAAAATGTCTGCTGCAGACTATTCTGGTGACCAATATAGAATTAGGTGCCTATAATGGCCCCTTGAAGTAGAAAATGCATATCTGGAACAATGTTTTTATGCTAAGAAAGGGCGCATTTACATTCCACAGCACCACCTTCAAGCCTGTAAAGATCTGCAGCCCAAGCAGATTAGCTTCTCTCATTTATTTCAGCACCAAAGCCTAAACTCCAACGCAATTACAACTGCAGCTAGAATCCAATTTTATAACCGCTGTACCCTAACAGTGCGTTTCACTGTGTACTCCACACTGCATCGCACCATCATCCTGTCATCGCGGGAAGCCCAAACGCACTAATCTACTCGATTCCAGCATGGCACTGATGAATTCACTATGCTTTGCGTCCCACCTCCACAATCAGCGGGACGGGGCTCTCCAAAGCAGACGGTGTAAATGGTGGAAGGATCTGGCACACAGGGCAGCTTGTCCTGTTCGAGGCACACGCTACGCGGCTGCCGGGGCCTGTGTTTCAAAGGCCTATCCTGGGCCCTGAGGAGACCCGAGGGAAGCTCGCTTCACAGCCAAGGCCCGCAGGCGCAACCTTCTTCTCAACTGTAACCCCGAGAACTCCCCCCAAAACCCCCGTGTCAGCACTAAACTCCCAAGGTTCGCGCCCAAAAACCGCCACAGCCTCCTCAGACCGACCGTTAAACCGCCGGGAG